GGCCTCACCGGTTACTATAGATGGTTCATCAAAAATTTCGCTATCATAAATAAACCTTTGACTAATTTGCTTAAGAAAGGAAATTTTTGTTGGACCAAGGAGGCTACACAAGCATTTGAAGACTTAAAGCAGGCCATGGTCCAAGCTCCCATCTTAGCATTGCCTAACTTCACAATACCATTTGTCGTTGAAGTAGATGCTAGTGGCAAGGGTGTTGAAGCCGTATTAATGCAAAATGGGAGACCAATCGCCTTCGTTAGTCAGGCTTTGAGTCCCAAGCATTTGGGCTTGTCTACATATGAAAAAGAATTGGTGGCCCTATTACATGCAGTTGAAAAGTGGAAACACTACTTGCAACCCAGTAATTTTGTGATAAAAACAGATCATTTTAGTCTCAAATTCCTTAAAGAGCAGAGGATTACTAGTACACTACAGGCATAAGGGAATTACTAAGTTATTAGGCTTGGATTATAAGATCCATTACCGCAAGGGGGTGGAAAATGTAGTTGCGGATGCTTTGTCCCAAAAATTTGAGGAAGGTGATTGTTGTGGATTGACCATTTTCCAGCCCAAATGGACTGAAGAGGTGACGAGCAGCTACCAAGATGATGCTATAGCTCAAAACTTGATTATGCAATTAAGTTTAGATCTAACAGCAGTCCCCGGTGTTCAATTACAACATGGTATCCTGAGACATGATGGAAAAGTTTGGGTGGGAAGGAATGGTTCCCTCCGACAAAGATTAATATCAGAAATGCATTCAACTCCATGGGGAGGTCATTCAAGGATTCATGCAACTCAGCAGAGACTACGAGCAGTGTTTTATTGGCCGACCTTATTACAAGAACATAAAGACCAAATCAGAGAATGTGAAGTTTGTCAACGCAACAAAGGGGAAAGTGTGGCATACCCAGGTCTTTTACAACCTCTGCCTATACCCTCCAGGGCATGGGAACATATTGCAATGGACTTTATTAGTGGGTTACCTAAATCACATTGGAATGATTCGATATTGGTGGTGATAGACATGTACACTAAATTTGCCCATTTCTTTGCCTTGACTCATCGATATGCTGCAAACCAAATAGCCCAATTATTCCTGGATAACATATGCAAACTGCATGGTATGCCCAGCTCCATAGTTTCTGATCGAGACCCGATATTCCTTAGCACATTTTGGAAAGAATTGTTTAAAGGATTACAGGTGCAACTCAAGCATAGCAGTGCCTACCAACGGATGGGTAATTTGAAAGGTTGAATAGATGCCTAGAAACATACCTTCGTTGTATGAAAGGTCACAAGCCATCCGACTGGAGTAAGTGGATATCGCTGGCAGAATTTTGGTACAACTCTAATTACCAATCTTCCATTGGAATGACACCCTTCAAGGCTTTATATGGTTATGAGCCTCCCCAACCGACATTTGAATTGATAGCCCAAACAAAGTTGGAAGCAGTGGATGTGGTGATACGGGAAAGGCAACTGATGGCTAAAGTTTTACAAGACAACTTAACAAAGGCCCAAGTAAGAATGAAGGCTTATGCATATTCAAAGCGCAAAGAAAGAGTTTTTTATGTTGGTGATTGGGTTTTCCTAAAATTGCAGCCCTACCATCAATCTTCAGTGGCAATCCGCAAAAATCTGAAGCTCTCTGCTAGGTATTTTGGACCTTACCAGGTGATTCGCAAAAATTGGACCAGTAGCTTATGAATTACAGCTCCCGAGTGGCTCCAAGATACACTCTGTATTCCATGTATCCCAATTGACGAAGAAGATAGGAGAAAAGAATTTTCCCACACAAGATCCACCTACTGCACCAGTGATGGTCAAATTCTGACAGAGCCCCTGAAGATTCTAGAACGCTGCATGATTAAAAGGGGAAATCGAGCAGTGACAGAAGTGCTGGTTCAATGGGCCAACTTGGCACCGGAAAAGGCGACATGGGAGGATTAGACCTTCCTAAAAAGTCAATTTCCACACTTTGATCCTTGAATGATATCAAGGCTCTTTGAGGGGAATGGAGTGTAGCAGGCCCAATGATTCGACAGCCCAATAGTTTCCTTGTGTTTTCAGCCCAAGTAGTAGTGACCCGTGTGGTTAGCATTAGCTTAGCTGTTTTTATTATTTAATTAAGTCCAGCTGCTAGATGGTTCTAGAGACAGGACAAGTGTCAAATGGTGAGTAGGTTTGTTAGAGAATTCCAGATTGTCGTCCTTTTAGCTCTATATTAGTCCTTTTGCATTGTATTCAGAGGCTATCTATCAATGTAAAGCTGTTTTCTTTAATTTTCATTTTATTTCCTTTTCCTCAATTATCTCAGTAGCAGCAGAACTGCTACAAAAATTGAGAAAAACCGACCGATTATCCTCGAGAATCCAATTTTTGAAAATAAGTAATCCAAAGTCAAACTCCAGCCAAAAATTGCCAAACTCTCTCGGTAGTTTTTATTCTCAAAATAAGCTAAGTATTGTAAAACGAGCCTATGGTCTTATTTTATATAGTCCCTTTTCATAATTGTACACCTCTGTATAATCTGTATATAATATATGTATAATAAAATATAGGCCAAATACATAGGGAGACCCCTAAACTTGTCCCTATTTTTTATTTAAACACTTAAACTCAAGCTAGTACCTATTGGACACCTAAACTCCTCAAGAAGTATACCAATTAGGCACATTTTGCTGACATGGCAAAATATGTATTCTACACTCTCTTTGAGCGCGTACAAATCTTAAAAAATGGTTACTTAATTGTCTTTTCTCTTTCTCTTCTTCTGTTATTTTGTTTCCACTGGTTTTATTTAAAGTCGTATCCACCTTGCCGGAAAATTTCTTGACCAACGGCAAGTTCCATGGCTGGCCTTCCAAACTCGATTCTCATTTCTCCAACAGAATCAAGATTATAACATAAATAATCTAGTCATTTACTCCTTTTAAACAACTATAGACCCTTCACTACCGTCATGTCCAAGTATTTACTCACTAACCATTTTTAGGGTCTTGATGAGGTATGGGGGTCTAAAATTGAGGTTTACCATATCCCCCCAAAAAAAGAAATTCTTCACATAAGTTTTTTTGTCTCGAACAATTTTTTAATACCAGTATTTATCAAGCAAGTCGAATAGATATAATTTAGAAACGAGATCTGCAAGAGTAAGCAAAATGGGTCTGGGATGACTTTTTACAGTTATGATTTAGCCACCTCAATCAGAAAGAATAACAATAAAACAAAAACCAGAACACAAGAAGAAGAAAGAAACATTGAAAAGAAAAACAAAATAGAAAAGAAGAAGAAGACGAATGGAGAGGGTGAGGGGAGAAAGAATTTTGTCCGTTAGCCTTTTCTTTTTTGTTGACTTGACACGTGTCATTTACTAATTGGTTGGCCTAGCACGTCAGATGCATTTGAAATTCACGCACTTCACTTTGTTTGGAAATGTAAAATATGTATTTAATAGACACACTTCTGTTGGAGTTGAAGAGTCTAATACGAACTAGTTATAGTTTAGGTGTCCAAATGGAAATTGAAGCCAAATTTAAGGGTCTGTATATGTATTTGGCCTAAAATATAATTAATATATAATTATGTATATTGGTTAGAAAAATAAATTCGATCCTGTAAAGGTAACCATAAAAATATCTACACATTAGAGATACTAATACACGTGTCCTATTATTTTACCTTCATGACTTTATAGAAGCTTCAAACTTCGCTAACATCAAGGAGCTAGCATAGATAAGAGGCACGTAGATCAATCTCCTTGACAGCAAGACATCAACTAACAATTTGTTTGGAAGATTTTTATCTATTATAATCTATCGTATCATTGTTATTTATTATATTGTATCATATCGTTAAATCTATCTTTACATAATGATGAAAAGTATTAATTTATCGAACAATATATTTGACGTGACCGTATCGTTATCTTATTTTTTTTCTCTCTATCTTGCTCTTTTTTTACTTAAATAATCGTGTCAACCATGGTATCCAAACCACCGCAGATATCATCGGCAACACCATTGAGGCCATTTTTGGCGTCAACAATTTGTTTCTCAATTCACTTCTGTGTTTGGATCATGTTCCCCATCGTTTTATAATGTATTGTATTGTATTGTACTGTACTGTATTGTATCGTTTTGATGGATACGACATTTGGATAGACTGTATCGTTTGATGTTGTTAAATAACATCTTTATTGTTTGGTTTGACTGTATTGTACTGTACTGTACTGCTAAGTTTACTAAAAATACCCTCGATTATTTTAAATACGATGCTTATTAAGAATTACTCATAAAAATAATTTATTCATCTAACCTCCGCATCTTCCTCACAGGGAATCATCTTTCTACTATAATAGTGAAAGCTCCAAATTGGTTGCATACAAGCAAACAATCAGTTTTATATTAACAATCAAAACAAACATCGTATCTGGGGTAACAATACAATACAATACAACTGGAAACAACCTTCCAAACAATACGTAAGTTTAAAAAAAAAAATTGAATTTTAACTCGAATTCCCAAATTACAATAATGCCTAATCCAAACACCTACAATTACCTAATCAACATGCATGATACATGCCTGTTCTTCTATAAAACGACAAGATAATATACTATTTTAACATCTTTTGGAAATATGAACGTAATATACGATAGTATATACTTTTGGAAATTAATATAAAAGTATGCAAGGGACAAAAAGATAAACTATTTGGTCAAACACAAAACCCAGCTTTTAATTAAGCTGATCTTGGCTTGTGGCAGTTATACCTTTGGAAATTAATATAAAAGTATGGAAGGGACAATAAGATAAACAAACTCAAAACCCAGCTTTTAATAATAAGCTAATTTTGGCTTGTTAATAGAGGTTTAGAAGAACTTTTGGGAGTGCTCAACTTTTGAAGGTTCAGCAAACGTCAAACGATTCTCCAAAATCATTGTGCAGCGAATTAATTCTTCAAATATTCATATAAGGTATCAAATTCTACGTTTGTTCTTTTGATAATCAAACAAAATCCTCCCTTTCTAATGTAGATTACGATTATTCTAGCTATATATGTTGTTTTCTCTGTTGAGTCCCACATCGGCTGCTTAGGGATGGGATGATCTCTATATGGCCTTTGGCAATACTTCCTCTGTTCCTGTTTATATGAACCTATTTTTTTTTTAATCCGTTCAAAAAAAGAATGAACCCTTTCTAAATTTGGTAACAATTTAGCTTAAATTTACATTTCTTCACTTGACGAGAAGCTTTTATAAACACACAAATACTTTGGACCCCTTTTTGACTTATTTAGGACCATAAATTCCAAAAGTCTTTATTATTTCTTAAGCTCCGTGCCCAATCAAACAGGTTCACGGAGGGAGTATTACATTACTTTCTTTTTTATAATTAATAGTTGGATTTAGATGTGCAGCACGTTGGAACATGTTCTCAGATATATTTAAGTTCTTACATATTTTGTTCAAATGGCCAGAATTTGTAATCACAATGACAGATAGCTGCAACAGACTTGCAGTTGGAAGGGGCAAAATCGATAGACTATCGGATCTTCCTATTAATGTCATACACCAGATTCAGGATCACATGTCTATCGAAGACGCTGCAAAAATGAGTATTTTGTCTAGTACGTGGAGATATGCTTGTGCTTCAAACCCGAAGCTCGTATTTGATACAGAGTTTTGCACAAATAGAACGTCGTCAAACACAATAGACATCATTAGTACAATTATGTTGCAGCACCATGGAGCCATTAAGATATTCCTCGTAGATATTTCAGTTATACATTCTTCTCAGCACTCAGTTATCGATCAGTGGATGCTATTTTTGTCATCAAACGGTCTCATGGATCTCACTCTTCAGAATCATAACATTGTCAATGCTCCTTATGAATTGCCTTCCTGTGTGTACAGTGTAGGACTAGAACGTTTGGTCCTGTCGAACTGCATTTTCAAACCGCCTTGCAGTTTTAGGGGTTTCCTCAAACTCAAAACGCTTTTATTAAAGCGAGTTGCTTTTGAATTAGTCGCTGCAACTTCTTCCATCTTGATGCCTAACCTTGAGAGACTGCGTTTCACGCAATGTAGTGGTTTTGGTTTGTTGAATATATATGCCCCAAACCTTTTTTGTTTATGTTTCTATGGTTGTGGCAATGACACAATAAAATTGAGTCCTTTCATGGAATGCACGAAGCTGAAGATAGTTGCAATTGAATCACACGACGAAGTTTCACTAAACAGACAAGATAAAGCAATAAAATTGACGAATCTTCTCAACAGCTGGCCTAATCTTAGTCATCTTATTTTGGGCAGATACTTCCTCAAGGTAAGTTGCGAAAAAATGGATATGTTTGCAAATATTTGTAATGTTTAAATTTAACCTTATTCTTTTGTGGTTGTTTGTTGTCTAGTTTTTTGCTTCTGGTACTGGAGCAGAGAGTCCTCCCACGCGCCTCACCAGATTGCGATGTCTCTATTTATCTGACTGTGATTTTGACCGCGAAGATCAAATATCTCCGCTTCTAAGCATTCTTAGAAGTTCTCCCAATTTAGAAGTACTTCAGATTCTGGTAAGTATCTGAATTCATGAGTTGTAAGGCATTTTGAGAGTAAAGAGCTGAAAACACTACTGATTTTACTTTTAAACTGCTTTTTAGTTGAGCCAGAGGAAGAAATGCGACATGGAAGTGGATGTAAATCTTATTGAAGAACAAGACGATAGGAAGCAAGGACGACTCAATAACCTTCAAATGTTGCAAATAAAAAATTTCCATGGTTCAAGAATTGAATTGCGCTTTGTAAGGTTCATTCTTGGCTCTACTCCTTTACTCAGGAAAGCTATCATTTTGGTAGATACAGATGTTAATGAAAGACAATACTTGAAGATCTCGGAGGAGTTGATGCGATTCCCTCGGGCATCTCCTAAGTCGAAAATTGTATTCCGACCCTGGTTGAAAGAACAAGGTAGATCTTCAATGCCATGTTGTTGAGATGGCCGGATTCAAAGTTGGAGCCAAGATTTGAAGTTTATGGGTTCCGGAATCTGATCCGTTTTATAAGTTACTGTGTTCTAAATTAATAAGTTGTACATATTCGATGAATTTGTTAAAACAAATACATGGTTTGGACAAAAGTTACTGGGTTTGGTCGAACCCGTAAGTTGTGTTCTAGCTCCGTTCCCGGCCGGAACCCCTTTCTTGCTCTTCATCGTCGTCTTGCCTTCTGTTCTATATGTTTGAATGACTAGTGTACAGGATCCTTTATTTTGTTACTTGAACTAATGGATGGAAATGGTGAGTGTATACAATTCTTTAGGTTCAGGTGTAAAGTATCTCTTTAGTGCTAACTTATTAGAGTTTTATTGCGCGCAGAAGTTGGCTGAGTTGGTTGGGTGAGTGGTTTTCCATATGTGAGACCTGGGATCGATTTCCCTCACCACAATCTCTTCAGTCAAAGCTCGTCGCATCGATATTGCCTAGTGCGGTTTTACATCTCTTGTGTGTTCTCTAGCTATCAGTGAAACGTAGACCTAAACGTCACGGG